GTTCGACAAGGTGCTCGTGTTGGATGAAGGCAAGGAGATCTACTATGGCCCCATGACCCAGGCGCGTCCCTTCATGGAGGATCTGGGCTTTGCTTGCCGCGAGGGTTCCAACGTCGCCGACTACCTTACCGGTGTCACGGTCCCCACCGAACGCATTATCAGACCAGGATACGAGAATCGCTTCCCTAGAAACGCGGACATGATTCTCGCTGAATACCAAAAGTCGCCTATTTATACGCAGATGATCTCCGAATACGACTACCCCAACACTGACCTGGCCCGCCAGCGCACTGCCGAATTCAAGGAATCCGTCGCCCAAGAGAAGAACAAGAAACTTTCCAAGACAAGTCCCTTGACGGTTGACTTCATCGACCAGGTCAAGACCTGCATTATCCGCCAGTATCAAATCATCTGGGGTGACAAAGCCACATTTTTCATCAAGCAGATCTCTACCTTGGTTCAGGCGTTGATTGCTGGTTCACTGTTCTACAATGCCCCTAATAACTCGGGTGGTTTGTTTGTCAAGTCCGGTGCTCTGTTCTTCTCCCTGCTCTATAACAGTCTTCTGGCCATGTCCGAAGTCACCGACTCATTCAGCGGTCGCCCGATTCTGGTCAAACACAAAGGCTTCGCATACTACCACCCCGCCGCCTTTTGTATCGCTCAGATTACTGCCGATATTCCGGTTCTCTTGTTCCAAATCAGCGTGTTCTCCATCGTGGTTTACTTCATGGTTGGCCTCACCATGTCCGCCAGCGCGTTCTTCACCTACTGGATCCTTGTCTTCACTGCAACTATGGTAAGTCATCGCATACATCCACTTGTTGCCTGTAATTGTACTGACGTCTCGCTTAGGCCATGACAGCGCTGTTCCGCGCGGTCGGCGCGCTTTTCAGCACGTTCGATGGCGCCTCCAAGGTCTCTGGTTTCCTCATCTCGGCTCTGATCATGTACACCGGTTACATGATCAAGAAGCCCCAGATGCACCCTTGGTTCGGCTGGATTTACTGGATCAACCCCATGGCTTACGGTTTCGATGCGCTGCTCTCCAACGAATTCCACGGAAAGATCATTCCTTGTGTGGGAACCAACCTCATTCCTAGTGGAGAGGGCTACGGTGGAGACGGGCATCAATCATGCGCCGGTGTTGGTGGTGCCATCCCCGGAAGCACCTATGTCACTGGTGATCAGTACCTGGCTTCCCTATCCTACAGCCATACTCATGTCTGGCGCAACTTCGGTATCCTCTGGGCTTGGTGGGCGCTCTTTGCTGCCGCCACCATCATCGCGACGTCCCGCTGGAAGTCTCCCGGTGAGAGCGGTTCCTCCCTTCTCATCCCGCGCGAAAGGGTCGATGCCCATCGCCAGGTTGCCCGCCCCGACGAGGAATCCCAGGTCGACGAGAAAGCCAAGAAGCCCCATGGTGACAATTGCCAAAGTGAAAGCGACCTTGACAAGCAGCTGGTTCGGAACACCTCTGTTTTCACCTGGAAGGATCTCACCTACACGGTCAAGACCCCTAGTGGCGATCGCGTGCTCCTCGACAAGGTATACGGATGGGTGAAGCCTGGCATGCTGGGTGCCCTGATGGGTTCCTCCGGTGCTGGTAAAACCACTCTCTTGGATGTGTTGGCTCAGCGCAAGACTGAGGGTACCATTCATGGCTCCGTCCTCGTCGACGGTCGTCCTCTGCCCGTTTCTTTCCAGCGCTCTGCCGGTTACTGTGAACAACTTGATGTCCACGAGCCTTTTGCCACTGTCCGTGAGGCCTTGGAATTCTCCGCCCTGCTCCGCCAGCCTCGCCATGTGCCTGCTGAGGAGAAGCTCAAGTACGTTGATACCATCATTGAACTTCTTGAACTGCATGATATCGCCGATACCCTTATTGGTCGCGTCGGAAACGGACTGAGCGTTGAACAACGCAAGCGTGTCACCATCGGTGTCGAGTTGGTCTCGAAGCCCAGCATTCTCATCTTCCTGGACGAACCCACCTCCGGTCTTGATGGCCAGTCTGCTTACAACACTGTCCGTTTCCTGCGCAAGCTCGCCGACGTCGGCCAAGCTGTGCTCGTCACCATCCACCAGCCCTCTGCGCAACTCTTTGCTGAATTCGACACCCTACTCCTCCTCGCCAAGGGTGGAAAGATGGTCTACTTCGGTGACATTGGTGACAACGGCCAAACTGTCAAGGACTACTTTGCTCGCTACGGCGCCCCCTGTCCCGCAGAAACCAACCCGGCCGAGCACATGATCGACGTGGTCTCCGGCGCGCTCTCCCAAGGTCGCGACTGGCATCAAGTCTGGAAGGATTCTCCCGAGCACACCAACTCCCTCAAGGAACTCGACTCCATCGTTGACGACGCCGCCTCCAAGCCCCCTGGTACCGTCGACGACGGCAACGAATTCGCCATGCCCCTCTGGCAGCAAACCCTCATTGTGACCAAGCGCTCCTGCGTCGCAGTCTACCGTAACACCGACTACGTGAACAACAAGCTGGCCCTCCACGTCGGCTCGGCCCTCTTCAACGGCTTTTCCTTCTGGATGATTGGCAACCACGTCGGCGCTCTCCAACTCCGTCTCTTCACCATCTTCAACTTTATCTTCGTCGCCCCTGGTGTTATCAACCAACTGCAGCCCCTTTTCCTGGAACGCCGCGACATCTATGACGCTCGTGAAAAGAAATCTAAAATGTACTCCTGGATTGCCTTCGTGACTGGCCTTATCGTCTCCGAACTCCCCTACCTCTGCATCTGCGCCGTCCTCTACTTCGCCTGCTGGTACTACACCGTCGGCTTCCCCTCGGATAGCAACAAATCCGGCGCTGTCTTCTTCGTCATGCTGATGTACGAGTTCGTCTACACGGGTATCGGTCAATTCGTCTCCGCGTACGCCCCCAACGCCATCTTCGCCTCGCTCATCAACCCGGTCATCATCGGAACCCTCGCTTCCTTCTGTGGTGTCCTCGTCCCCTACACCCAGATCCAAGAATTCTGGCGCTACTGGATCTACTACCTCGACCCCTTCAACTACCTCATGGGCAGTCTCCTGGTCTTCACCACCTTCGACACACCCGTCCGCTGCAAGGAGTCCGAATTTGCCATCTTCGATCCTCCCAACGGCTCGACGTGCGCCCAGTACCTCCAGGATTACATGATGGGCGCCGGCGCGCGCATGAACCTCATCAACCCGGACGCCACGGCTGACTGCCACGTCTGCGAGTACACGCGCGGAAGCGATTACCTGTATACCATCAACCTGAAGGATTACTACTACGGGTGGAGAGATGCGGCGATCGTCGCTTTGTTCGCGATTAGCTCATATGCCTTGGTGTATGTGCTGATGAAGTTGAGGACCAAGGCGTCGAAGCAGGCTGAGTAGAGAGTTTTTTTCTCGCCTCGCTTTCCCCTATTGGCATTCGGTCAGTCCAAGGATGGCTGGCCGACTATTATAGACGTACATATGCATACATACCCCTTTGCTTACTTACATTACCCCCTCTGTCTTGCATATAGACCGATACACCATTTCTTCTATTCTTCTCTCCACTTATTTTTATTTTTCTTTCTACAGATCTTTTTGCTTGTCTGTTAATTTGGGCAGCGTCTGTGTGAAGCATTTATACATTTGCACCCTTTTCTTTCTACTTCATTTCTTTCTGAGAATCAGACTACCCCCACCTCTGTCCTGCACGCATTGTGGAGTTGATCTGTTCTATTCTTTTACCAAAATATTGACTTTGATCTTGATTCTCGGTTTTGCTCGATAGATGAATATGTGTCGATGTGTAACGCTGCATGTGGACGGATGGCTATTGTTTAATATTAGATGGAATTATTGTTTGCTCGCTAGAATTGGAATCACATTTCATTAAAAATCCGAATACGTGTCAGTCTTTAGTATTATTACATCCAAATTCCCGTAAATCCCACGGCATAGTTCCAAGTAAATAAGCCAATGATAGTGAATGAATGCTTCAGACTAGACAAAATTTACTCAATGTATAGATTACCTTAATCTTATCAAAGTCGACTTCTCCGTGACCTTCCCCGCCAGGTTCCAACATGACCATTGCAATACTTAATAGAATCTCCGATGGACACGGCATTTTTGGGGGGTTCTTCCAGATTCCAACTGCCGAATGTGAGCATCTGATATATTCAACTACTACTACTAACTTAGTAGTAAGAGTAGTATATAGTTGACGGTGGATGTAGTACTATTCTTTCACCACGACCTTATCCCTCAACCATCATCATCATCATCATCATCATCATCGCCCCAGAGTCTTCCAACATTCGTCGCACCCCCGGGATCACAAAATCCCATGCCAATAATGGCAACTGACCGGTTATCTTGGCGGTAGGGATGATGAATGGCAGAGGCAGAAACTGATTCCGGGTGGTCGCGGGAGGAATCCATCAGCGGCGGGGACAGCAGTCATAACCATAGTCATGGCGGGCCGAGTGGAAGGAAAGGAAAGTTCAACGGCACTTTATGCAGCAATACCAGCATCAACGTTGCGCAGCGCAGATAAATACATACGTGATGATGCAAGAAGTACTGATAGCCGGCTTGATTGCATGCTTGTGTATGTACTACGTGGGAATCATCCGAGCTGGTACAGGGGATGGGATGGTTGAGTGGCTTGCATGAACTCAAAGAAGGCACTGCGTCATTGCGGGGAGCTTATTCTACAAGGATCAGGCAATCGCGGATGTTAGGAAGGTGGTAGGTTTCTTATTGTTATGCTGCTGCTGCTGCTGCTGCTGCTGCTATGGAGGCAAGGGTTCTCTTGTCCTCCGGGATATCGTGGCTCTTGCTATGTACTACGGACGCTGACTGGGGGGGGGGGGGGGGGTGGGTTTCGCATGATTGGTACATCGCAATGGAGTGCTTGAGCAAGGAGTCCTGCACTCCCCAAGTCTTCACGGTCGGGATGTTGATATACCCTTCCAGGTTCCGATCAATCATTGGATCTTCCTGGATCTTCCTGGGGTAGGATGCCATCAAAGGAGCCGTCCTCGCTGATGACATCGTACAACCAGTCATATGCGTCCAGCAATGACGGATTACCAGACTCTGGTGCAGTAAGAGAAGATGAGAGCGATAATAGTTATAATATGGGCCGTCATAGTAGCCCGCTATCCCAGGACCAGGAGCAGAGTCCACGTCCCGTCGTCTTCTACGAAGTTGTCGCGCTATTGGCCCAGCTTGAGAGTCAGCTAGGGATGGGAGCAACCGGAATACCACATAGCCAATTGAGCCTTGTAGGATCTACCGGCAGGGTTGTCAGTCAATGCCGCCAATGACACCTGCAGAACGAAGAGCTCTCACCTTGACATTGGTGCCTCAGCCATGGAGACTGAGCAGTTTCAGAAGCATGAGTCTGAGACGACTGGGGACTGGAGACTGCAGGCTGCGATCATGGCGAGGCAGTTCTACTCGGCCGTGGTTGATGAAACTTTATCAAACATGGGCCATCTGAAGCATTGGTGATGGTCAAAGCCGGCCCGGGAGCATCTCTCTTGGTGTCACCATGGCTCATTTGATCCGGGAAGGCCGAGGCACTGCTTGGATGCCTTCCATAAGCGATGCAGTCGTGGACGATGCACCCATCTCACGGGCGGTGCATTGAAAGTGGCCGTGCAAGCGATCCCGGTGGATACACAGCAGATAGTAAGTGTAGTACGAATGGGTCCGATCTATATCTATCTATCTATGTATGATCGAGATGACCACCAGTTAGGAGATCAAGGCCGAGAAGCGAGCCATGCGCCATCTGGTGTACGTACACCAGATGGCGAGAGGGGACGAAGCACGGGATCCAAGTATAGCAGCAAGCAGCAAGTGGCCGGGAGATAAAACAGTCTGGAGCAGCGATGATGTTGCAATCGGGACGGATCCAACCATCCATTTCATCCAATTCCTCCCCCTGACCCGACTCCACCGAGAGTCTGGAAACCTCGACCATTTCACCCTTGGGCCGCCATGATTGGCGAGTTGCCACCACCACCACGCCATGTCTCCACCCCACAGACGCTGACTGGTTGGCAGTGAATGGGGCCCAAACCAATGGCGGACCGGATAAAGTAAAAAAGTAAAATGGTTTGCAAATGGTGAAAACTTTCCTTTTGGTCGGCCCGGCGGGACTCGAAGGCAATTGGGTGGCCAGCCAGGTTTTTTTCTTTTCTCCTCTTCAGGTACCACAACGTGTTGAGAATACTAAGTAATCTGGACCCATCCATTCATTTGAACAATCCCTCAGTTGGTTCTATGGCTGTCACATAGAATGTGATTGACTTGACTTGACTTCTCTGCAAGGGAGAGAAAGACAGATGACGATGACCAGCAGGTTGAATCCTGTATCATCAAGTCTGGAAGAAGAAGAAGGGATAAGGAATAGTTCTGCAACATTGGCCGGTGAGCTGTCAGTTGGGTTTCATCGTGCAGCGCTGATCCTGCATTCAATTTCTCCGGCATCCAGCCCGGGCTTGTCTTGTCTTGTCTGTGTCTGGGATCGCCAATCACGCCCATGTGCCATGAAGTCATGCTTCCCGAGTCGTCCACACATCCATCACGTCCTGTCCTGTCCTTGTCCCGGTTTCCTGCTTAAAACCACCATCCCGACGTGTCCCCCTTCTTTCCCTCCTACACAGTAGTAGTATTGTTCCTTTGTTTCAATCCCGACTGTGGATGTCTGCCGTGGACTTAGTCTGGTTTATCTCCGACTGCACATCCATTCCTCTCTTCCCTAAGTACTTACTATTTCCGCAGCTGGGTGCTGTTGGTCTAGACTGAGACTTATTTTTGGTTCGGCACCCCTCTCCCTCCCCGTGGACTTGACTTTGCCTGTATTCCACACGCCGTTGGGAATTCCCACGCTGCTCTCTCCACCCACACTCCCACGCTTGACTATTATCCACCTTTTCCTTTTTCTTTTTCTTTTTTTCGTCCCGTCGCGCCTTTTCCTCCTGCCATTCCGAGTAATTCTCCAGTTCCCTCCTACTGGGAAGAGTAATTCCCATTCTCCATATCTATCATTTGACACTTGCACTATTATTCATCGCTTTCTCCCGTCTTCCTCTCTCATTCGCTGAGCTGCTTTATATTGCCGACCCTCTCCGAATTATTTGCCCTTTTTTTTTTTTCCCTTTCTTTGTTCCCGTCCTCCCCAGCTATTAGTACTATCTATCGCGCATTCCTCACTTACCATCTCTCCCCCTTACTTTCTTCACTCCACACCTTTCTTGGCTTGACATAATCCTGATTGTCCGCGCAGCTGGCTGCTCGGACTGTTCCAATGTCGGAGTCACCTCGCCATGACGATGCCTCCTATGAACTCCTAGGCCGCCAGAACAGCTGGGACGGAAATGACGGCAACGACGAAACCCTCGTTCCGCGCAATTCGGGCGAGCCATCCGCCCCCTCCCATCCCGAAGGCGAACCCCCGGCTGCAACAACAGAAGAGGGTGGTCCCAATGAAACCACCAGACCCGCGCGCGTTCGATTTCGCTCCGTCAGTAACAACAATGAGACGGTGCCAGAACGCCCGCCCATGCCGCGCGGGGATTCCGAATACTCCCTGCGCTCAGTGCATTCCTTCGTCCCCACGACCGCTCAATCGACCGATCTGGCCGACTATTTCGAACGCGACTACGCGCAGGAACATGATCCGGTAGAGAGAGAAGGCAACGAAGCAGATAAACGCTCCTCCCCCACCGCCAATGAATCTCGAGACACCTCCCTCGACAAAGATGAGTCGCAACAACCCGTCTCCGCCAAGGACCGCTGGAGGAACGCCAGCAAATTGCTTCGCCAGAAGACCGTGCTCTTGGGTGAACGCCTCGGTCGACCGCTGGATGATGTAGGTGACTTGGGTGCCGCCATGTTGCCCGATGATCTGGAGGGCGGCTATCCCCCCCGTCGCAGGGGCGATGAGAAGGAGCCTCTTGATCCCCATGGCCGGAATGACGAGCCGCCTCCCCCGCCGAGTGCCGAAGCCCATCGCCTGGTTCGCAGCATGACCCAACATAACATGCATCAACGCCGGAAGCCCAAGTCGGCCTATGCCAAGTCGGGACAGGAGACGCCCGATGGACTGGGTCGTCCGGACTCGTGGTACGGAGCTGGCACTCCGGGTGGTCGCGGCGGTGGTGGTATCCTCTCGCAGCTGCTCAAATTACACGCCCAGCAGCAGGCCAACCGGGACAATATGTCCATGACTGACTCCTCCGATAATGAGTCCGTGGCATCCTCCGGCACCGCAACGCCCCGGAGAGACTTTTCCGCGGGCACTTTCTCCTCCGGAACGGCTACCCCCAAGAAAGAGAAGGTCAAGTGGTACAAGAAGTCGAGTCATCAGTCCACCGCTTCCCTGGTGGAGGCGTCGATGAACCTCAGCCGGGCGAGTTTGCCTGCCTCCGCAGACACTCTAGTGAATATTCCCAACAAGAAAAAGGGCAAGAAGAAGCGCAAGACCCGTCTCGAGGACGAGATCCGCGTGACGGTGCACATTGCTGAGATTCTGGCCCGCCAACGGTACATCATGCAGCTCTGCCGGGCGCTCATGCGCTATGGTGCGCCCACTCACCGTCTGGAGGAGTACATGCAGATGACGGCTCGTGTTCTGGAAGTGGAGGGGCAGTTCTTGTACCTACCCGGATGCATGATCATGTCCTTTGACGATCCGGCCACACGTACGGCCGAGGTCAAGCTGGTCCGTGTGGTGCAGGGAGTCGATCTGGGTCGCTTGGCGGAAACACACAATGTCTACAAGAACGTCGTTCACGACATGATCGGGGTGGAGGAGGCCATCCAGGAGCTTGATCTGATCATGAAGCGGCCCCCACGGTTCAATAAGTGGATCTTGGTGGTCACCTACGGATTGGCGAGTGTTGCCGTCGGCCCTTTTGCCTTTGACGCCCGCCCCATCGATATGCCTATTATCTTTTTCCTCGGATGCTTGGTCGGCTTCATGCAACACGTGCTGGCGCCCCGGTCGGTGCTGTACTCCAACGTGTTTGAAGTCACGGCAGCCATCTTGACCTCGTTCCTTGCGCGAGCCTTTGGTTCCATTTACGCCACCATCGATGGGACGCACGAGCGTCTGTTCTGTTTCTCCGCCTTGGCTCAGTCCTCGATCGCTTTGATCCTACCGGGTTTCATGGTCCTGTGCAGCAGTCTGGAACTGCAGTCGCATCAAATGATTGCCGGTTCAATCCGCATGGTCTATTCCATTATCTACTCCATGTTCCTCGGTTATGGCATCACGGTCGGCACTACCATCTATGGGCTGATTGACGGCAACGCGGCCTCGTCCACAACTTGTAAAAACGAGGACGTGTGGGGAAGCAAGTACATTCAGCATTTCATCTTCGTTCCGATCTATGTGATTTTCTTAGCCATCATCAATCAGGGCAAGTGGAAGCAAGTGCCCGTGATGATCGTTATTGCCGTCTGCGGCTACGTGACCAACTACTTCAGCACCCTCAAGCTGGGCTCCAACTCCGAGGTGGCCAACACGGTCGGAGCATTCACCATCGGTCTTTTGGGTAATTTGTACAGTCGGCTGTGGCACGGACACGCCGCCACAGCCATTCTTCCGGGTATTTTCGTGCTGGTGCCGTCTGGCTTGGCATCCAGTGGTTCCTTGCTGGCCGGTATCCAGTATGCCGACGAGGTGCGCGACAACCTGCGATCGGGAAACACGACGGCGACCGACAGCACTTCAGACTCGTCGATTGCCAGTCTGGGTTTCGGTATGATCCAGGTCGCCATTGGCATTACGGTGGGATTGTTCGTGTCTGCCTTGATTGTTTATCCCTTCGGCAAGCGTCGCAGTGGTCTGTTCAGTTTCTAGACTTGACATTTGATAATTTACATATACACCGAGCGGTTTGAATTTCTATTGTGTTACGATGCGTTGAATCATGTATTTCGGGATCTTGTGTTGCATTTGAGCCGGCTTTGCATAGATATGATTGATTGATTGATTGATTCATTTATTTACTACTCTCTATCTCTACTTTTTTTTATTTCGGGTCATTGCAGGGCAATGTCTAGCCTTGATACCTTGGTTTGCTGGATAGATAAAATAGCTTGGATATAATGACATGGTGTCTGATTTCATATTGAAGATGAAAATATGGATCGTAAACTATTGTGAGGTGTCTCCAGACAGAGCTCGATAAATCCAACACCTGCATCTTCCCAGCGCATGAAATTGAATGTCCAATCGGCATGTATGAGACTATCACACAATTCAGTCCGTCTAAGCCGAGAGAACAGCCATTGGTCTGTATCAATTTGGACTTTAGTTGTGCTATGGTGATATTCATGGTAGAGTATTCAGAAACCCTTGTAAGCAACAGAAATGTAATGTATTCGACATCAATGTCTCAATACCACAGCCAGCCAGCAATAACCAAATTAATTAATCTTGAGACGAAAGGACAATGGGACCAGTCCACCTCGTCAGCAATGATCATATCCCTGCT